TACCTGGCTATTTTCAGGGATGACATCCAATGAAATATCGGAAATGTAAAAAATGGCCTTGATATCAAAAAAATTTTTTACAGATCATTTTATATTTATTGATCTTTCAGAAAACATAAGGGATTTGACTTGCAAGATTTCCATATATGTTTAACAGGGTAAACTTTTTTGTAGCAGAATGTTGCAATTGATTTTCACTACCTTTCAGACTAGCTGGAGTTCTGTAAATGTCAGCATTTGTTTTGTCCTAATAAATGTGTATTAAGATTGTTTCTAGAGCAGACAACCAGAGGGTTTATAAAGCGGGGGTTGGGTCATGTGTCCCTCTTTTTTTGTAGCGGAATCATACAATAGATTTGAAGCTCTGAAAATTTCATTAAATTTATCATTAACTGAAGCTCTGAAAATTTCATTAAATTTATCATTAATATTTTTAACATAAACAAATTAATTTCAATTAAACAACCTTGTTAAAGAAACAAATTATCTTTTACATTCAAAAAAAGATAAAAGAAATAAATTCAAAAGATTTTTGTAGGTCTAACCATCTGACATGGTCCAGTTGTTGTTACAGGTGCATCAATGATACAAATTGTGTTGATATCTTTAACAGATGACAAATTTTTTTTACAATATGTCATCATCATGATAAAATGTTGCTTGATTATCAGCAAACTAACATCATTACATTGAAATTTGGTGAATTTATTCTGTTTAGATATGATATGTGTTATTGGATTTGAATGATAAATGAAATTTATCATATTGAAATTTTTTTATAATGATGGCATATTGTTAAAATTTGTTATCTGTTAAAGATACCAATACAATTTGTATCATTGATGCACCTGTAACAACAACTGGACCATGTCAGATAGTTAGACCTTCAAAAATCTCGACCTACTAAGTTTTTCTACAAAAAGAACATCTACTAAAAAGTCGAACTAATTTTCAGATAACTTACTTTAGCCTAAATTGTTTTCAACTGATTATAGTCTTTTATTCTCAACAGATTTATAATGTTTTGGTTTTTGACAGATATTTTTTCAACTTATTTTATAGATTTTCATTTTCAACCGATTTGAGATTAATTTTTAACCGATTACATTTTAATGTTGTTTTTACTACGAAGTTTTTTTTAAATTAGCAATCAATAAGTTTTCCAAGCATTCATCGAATCTTATACCTTTCAATTCTGAAAACAGCCCTTCAACCATTGCACCATGGCTGATCAAATTTGGCTCGTTTCAAATCAATAACAAAATATACAAAATACATACCAGGAAGGCGTAGTTATAAAATTAAAAACTACAGGAGGTTGAAAAATCAGTAAGTCAACGAAATAGTAGGTTGGAAAATTAGTAGTACATGTTTTAATTAGGTGTAAATATAAAAATCAAAAATTGTTGGTTAAAAATCAAAAATGTCATCTATGATTTATGATATTCTAAAATTAGAGTTTTTAGAGAGTTAGGCCACCAACTGTTCATGAGGCAATTAGTGTAAATAGTAGTTTAATGTAAATAATATAGTTGTATTATAAATGTCTCTCAGCGTCATATATTGACCTTAGAGTTAGCTATTAACGTTCTAATCGAAATATATAATGCTGAAATAATTCACGTATTATTATTGAGTTTAACATGCCCTACGCGCTTTCACACAAACACCAACTGGGCCTATATATACTTAACATTGACGAATCTAAGCAAATCATAACACAATCTTGACACTATTTTTTTGTATTTAATTTAGTAAATAATTAAATAAAACAGAATATTTTTTTATTGACTAATGCTAAAAAATTTGTTGAAGATTAGTTATCTTTACCATGTTAAAGTTGAAAACTTATTTTCTCTAAAAAAACCTTTTTTTTTAGAGAAAATAAATGAGGTATGGGCCCTGGTGCCCAGTTTCATTGTCCATTTGATAGTATGCC